CTGGGGCTGGATGGGCAAAGCAGAGAGGAGGAAAGGGAGGGCACGTCAGGTCTCTAGGTGCATGTTCCTACCTAGAATCTCGGTTGAAGTCCCCAGAGCTCTCCCCAGCTGGGCCTTATAGGATTACAATTGAGTTCACAGCTCAGCCTCTGCGAGAGAGAGCAATTCTGTCTTACTGCCCTCCCCCACTGCTCTATCGAAAGGGGACCGTGGGGCAGCAACCCCCCAGGCCGCCAGCAGCTCCGTCTTTAAGTGAATGGCCTGTGAAATGTTAGAGAAGACCTGCAGCCCTCCTCCCTGGGTGGATATCACCTTCTTCCTTTGGATTTTATAAAGAACCTGATCCTCTTTGCCTGAATGCGGCCAAATAAATGGGAGTCTCAGAGGAGGTTGATGGCTCAGCCATAGAAGTCCCACAGCGACGTCTGGTTTTGATGTATTACTGATGGATATGATCATGCTTACAGAACTAGATCACTTTTGCCAGTTTGAGAGAAAGGTCATGTTTTTAATTTAACTTAATTTCCTACACCAAAGAGAATTTTCAATAGGATATTCGACTTTTGCACCTTTAATGAGGCCAGATGCTCTGGGGCTTGCAGCAATGAAGAGAAAACAGATTTTCTAGTTTACACTTCCACTTGGTGCATTTTCTAAATTGAGCATGTGCAGTTCCTTTAAGGATGTCATTCCCCACTGGCATTTCTTCCTTTCTCATTTTCCTCTCTTTCTCCCTTTCTCTCTCTCTCTCTCTCTCTCTGTCTTCCATTTCCTCCCGTCCTCCCTTCCTTCCTTTCTCCCCCCTGCTCCTCCTTCTCCTCCTCCTCCTCCTCAGGGTTATCTCTGAGCATATAACATGGGCTAAACACTGTGCCTACAGCTTTACAAACATATACTTAATTTTACAGGTGAGGAAACTGAGACTCAGCAAAGTTAAGTAAGGAGGATAGTATAAATCGTGTAATGGAACTATAGGATGAGTAACAGGGTTGTTATGAGCTCGGCTACTGCTAGATCATCTGGGTTCAAGTCCAGATCTGGCCATTTATTTGTGATGACCTGGGAAAATTACTTAACCTTATTACCACTAGTCTATGTTGATTGTCTTAAAATTACAGTTTTTAAAAAATGATGATACTTATACATATAAAACGACGTATGTATTGTTAATAGACTAAGGAAACAAGTGCCTGAATACCTTTCAATCGGATTAAGAAGTAGAACATTGGCTATACGTTTGGTGTCGTCCATGTGTTCCTCTCCTGTGGTAATCCCCATCCTCACTGAACCCCACAGCTACCCATTACCTTAGATTTTGGTTTCACATTATTATTATTATTTTTGTTTTTCTATACATGTACTACACACACACACACACACACCATTCCTAAACAACATATTGATGAGTGTTGTTTGTTTTTGTACTTTGTTAAAGTGAGAAATCCTATAACATATTTTTCTTTGACTTGGTTTTTTTAAACTTTTAAGTATATCAGCCATGTAGTTATATAGTTCATTTATTTCAGTGCTAAATGGAATGCCATTATGTGACTTTCTCTCAATTGATTTAATCTCTTCTCAGTAGACATTTGGGTTGTAGCTTTTTGATACCATTATGCACATTAGTAGTAGACTTTTTCCAGGGGCATATCTGTTGAAGTTTCTCTAGGATATATAACTAAGAATAGGATGGTCATAGTTATATGTATTCAAATTTATGCCCAACTGCTTTCTAAACTTGTTGTAACACATTTACTCTCTGACTGATAGTTTCCATTTTTCTACTTCTTTGCTAGCATTTGGTATTGTCAGATTTTAAATCCTTTGCCAATGTGATGAGTGCGAAATATATCTTGTTGTTTTTAAGTAGCAACTCGTTTTCAATGAAATTGAACTACTTTATTTATGTTCATAGTTATTTGCATTTTCTTTTAGGTAAAGTGCCTCTTTAGGTTTGTTTTTTGTCCATTTCTCCTCTTAGTCTCATATTCCCCATTTATTAAATGAAGGACTGTTCTGGAAGCTCTCTACTGGCCCTTATAGCTCTATGCTCTGTGATTCAAAGACTGATATTTTGATGCAGCTAACTCTTTGCCTTCGCATGTTGTATTCCTCCCCCAGAAATAAGCTTGTATGTCTTAGATACTGATGTCAGCTCCTTGCCCTGTTTCCTAGGTCAAAGATGGTATAGAAAAAGTTTCTCATAGATTAGCTCGAGTGAATTTTTGGACTTTCATCGATGATTTAAAAATCCCTGTTGAAAAATATCTCTTTTTTTCTTGTTTATATTCGGTCAGATATTTATTTATAAGTTGAGCACATATTTATGACTAGCTAGAATCCAGATTTTTCAGTCAAAGACATAATGGTGTGCCCCTTTATTCTGTTTTTCTACTGTTGCTCACTGGTGGTAGAGTCAGAAAAAAATTTTAAAGCCTAGGAGATAAGTTTTTCTTGTTTCTACAAAGTTAGACACACGATCATAGTTTATTTTTAGGATAATTTATTACATGCCTCTTTATTGCTCTGTTTCTAACTCATGTTTTCCTTCAGATCAATGATTTCAAAATCAACAAATCAAAACAAAACAAAATTTCTCCAAACCAATGAACCAACTAATCAACAAAAACCTAAACCTGAACCAGCACAAAAGAACCCAAACATGCATTATCATATCTGATATTACCCTTTGGTTTCGATCAGGAATTACACAGGAGCAGCTAAAATTTCTTGCACAATTGCCAATGTCTGCTCCTACCTCACATTCTTTTTTATCAGGTCAGGGATCCTTGAACCAAAGCAGAAGAATAGGATGTCAGCAAGGGTGGTACAATAGGAGGACCTCCACTCGTATGCCCCCACAGCCCCTCCAGTAATTTGGCAGCCATCGATGGACAGAAATGCTTTGTGGGATCCTGCTTTTGGAATCCAGGTAGGAGGCTATGAAACCCCAGTGGAGCCCAAGACTGAGGAGAGCCATTTAGAGAGGGCAGTTGCACACTTGTGTGGCAGGCTCATCAGCTGTGGTCCTGGTTACAGACTTAGAGACAGCCCTTTCCCCTGGTGGACTTGACTACAGCCTCAGTTGTCCTTGGTCCTGCCAAGGCCTTCTTCAGGCACCATCTGCCAAGGGACCTGGGAGGATCTACACCCTCCCATGCCTTGAGTAAGAGGCCAGCTGACCTCAGTCCTGGATGTGGACCATGAAGCAGCCCATGACCAGCTCCAGTCTCTCTTAGCCACGGCCTGGGCTCAGTCCTGCCTACTCAGGGACCCAGCAGGAGATATGCTCCTCTGTATTCCTAGAGGCAGGCCTGCTGAATTTGGTTCAAGGTCAAGGGTTGTGGATCCTGAAGCACCTCTGTGACTTTGTTCAAGCCCAAACCAGCCCACCTAGTGACCTTCTCAGCGAAGCAGTAGGAGCCTTCCCAGGGACACGGTGGGAACCATACCTTTCCACATACCTGGAACAGGCCCATCGCCATTGGACCCAACTGCAGACCCTGAAATGGACTCTTGTCTTAGCACTAGCCCTTCTGACCAAGGTCCTGGAGGCAGTCCCATTTTCCTAGGAACTAGGAAGGATCCACACTTGCCTCAGTTCCTGGTACCAGGCCTGCCAACTGCGGACTCCACTGTGGACCAGCAGCTGCCATGTAACCTGGCTTCAACCCTGCTCAAGTACAGTACCAGAGACAATCCCAAAACCAGTCCGTAAGGCCTCAAAGAGGTGTTTGCTTCTTCAAATGCACAGATGAAGACACCAACACTACATGGATCATGAAAAATCAGGTAAACACCAGATAATCAAAGGAAAGAAATAAAAGTCCAGTAACCAACTCCAAAGAAATGGAAATCTACAAATTGCCTGACAAAGAATTAAAAATAATCATCTTAAAAAGCTTAAAAAGATGCAAGAGAACACAGACAACTAAGGAAAATCAAGAAAACAATATATGAACAAAATGAGAGATTTGGTAAAGAAATAGAAACCATAAAAAAGAACCAAACAGAAATTCTGAAGCTGAAGAATACAGTGACTGAACTGAAAAAACTGAATTGAGAGCTTCAACAACAGACTTGATCATGTAGAAGAAAGAAGACAAGTCATTTTAAATTAGCATGTTGACTATAGTTAATAATACTCTATTGTACATTTGAAGTTTGCTAAAAGAGTAGATATTATGTGTTCTCACCACAAACAAAACATGGTAACTATATTAAGTGATGTGTTAATTAGCTTATTTGTGGTAATCATTACACAATGTATACATATATTAAACATCACATTATATACCTTAAATATGTATAATTTTTATTTGTCAATTATACCTCAGTAAAGCTGGAGAAAAAAAAAAGGAAAAATGTTACTCAATGGGATGTCAGAAGGGTCGACGTTTGGCCACTTATTAAGTGTCCAGCAATGTTCTCATGTTATCAGAGGCTCAACTCAGCGTAAAATTGCCAAGTGTCTACGCTGAGGATTTTTGCATCATAGGTAGTGAGTGATCGGGAGGTGACGTGGCTGTAGAAGTCTCTTGAAGGCACATCGCCTTCGTGGAGTTTCCATTCGGCATCAAAGAGGTCTGTGGTGTGGAGCGTCTTTCCTCTGCCTCCTGTAGGCCTTGGAACAGAGTTCAGGATCAGGTCAGAAAATCAGGCCCAATCTTCAGAAGACTGGATTATTGAACTCTCTCTCCAAGAAGCCATAGGAATATACTGAAAGTGGCAGCACTTGGCTTTCATGAGAAAGTTATAAGAGCTGGTTAAAATGCCCGTGGAACTGGTAGCCTCTATTTTATCTCCACAGGGCTGACCAGGAAGGAGCTGGGATGGGCAGGGAGTATGTGTGGGCCAGTCGAAGACAGTGAACTAGAACGTTTGAAGAACACACACAGGTTTCTTTAACTTCATGGTTCAAAATCTCTGAGAATTTTGTTGAAATTTTTCAAAGCTGGAAATAGAAGGGTTTGGAGACCCAAACTTCTAACTTAGAGCAGCTGGCTTACCTGTCTAATATGCATTTTGATTCCAGGTAAAATACCATTTTAAGAAAAGTATGTTAGTCTGGGTTCTCCAGAGAAACAGAGCCAATAGGAGACATATATAATACACTATATAATACATATATTTATAAAGAGATTTATTATAAAGAATTGGCTCAAGTGATTATGGAGGCTGAGAAGTCCCCAGGTCTGATTTATTTGCCTAGGACTGGTTTTTGTTTTTGTTTATATTCCAGATCATTGCTTCTCAAGGTCTGGTGAGTGTCACCCAAAGAGCTGCTTAATACAGATTCCTGGACCTTATTTCCAGATAGTAGGTCTGGGTTGGGGGTCAGAGAATTGCATTTCTAACAAGTTGCCAGATGATGCTATTGTTGCTTGTTTGGGGACCTTTAATTAGATTAGTACTGTTCTAGAAGGTACTTTCATATTTGTTCACATTTGGTGTAATACATGATAGCTTTTTCATTGGTGCCTGTGGTTTTAAATGAAATAATATTTTATGTTATCTGAATTATTTTTAACTGTTTGTTATTTCCCACTAAGTTATTGGCTCTTTGAGGAACAACTCTTACTTAGATTTTGATTAAAGTCAGTTTACACCATGCTCAGGATGTAGATGCTGATTGAATAAGAAAGGAAGGAAAAAAACGATCAGTTGATGGAAGTCCACAGCACTCAGGGCTCCAGGCTCACCCCTCACACCCTCATGCCACATTTCATCCAAACTCTGGAAATTGTGATCTCTCTCACTTCCTGCAGCAACTCACCAGCAGCCCCGAGACCACCCTGCCTCAGGCTGAGAAGTGAGAAATTCTGAAAGCAATCGAACACTGTAAATTTTCACAGCAGTTCAACGGAAAGCTGTTGGGCACAGATGTTTCTGTAATTGTGATATGCTGGGAACATTCTCTGCGCTCCAAGCACGCAGGGCCTCAGCCTCATTCTTCCACCTGGGTGCCTCAGTGGGCAAGTCTCACTGTACTGAGGCTGTAATGGGAACCAGGTGGCAGCATGTGTCTGTTTTAAAAGAGTTGAGCAAAATTCATGTCCCAGTCCCAGTCACTCCTTCCCTCCTGACCCAGCTCATTCCTCGGGGAGCCGGCTTTGCTGATCGTGGACCTCTCTGCTCATTCTCGGCCCCTTGCACAGGACAGGAATGGGATCTCCTGACTGCTGTTGGGTGGAGCCATGGAGGCCTTCCAGCTGCTCTTTGATAGGCTGTAAGAAAAGAACCAGGAAAAGCCTTCAATGGTGTGAAAGGACATGCTCATTCCAAATGACCTCTGTGTGATCAGGATCACTACTGTCATTTTAAAATGACAGAGGTATTTTGAAACTTGTGAGATATTTCTTCCAAGCTGAATTTGCTTTCAGCATATGCCATCCCTCCCTGCCTTTAACTAGACACAGTTCTCATTTGCTTTGGGGCCCTTCCTGCTTGTGGAAGCACAAGGAAGGCTAGGAATAGCGCAGGGGGAAACATCTGCCACTGCTTGAAATGTACACAGCAAAAGTCACAAAAGTTCAGTGAACTGGGAACATTTTCCACAAGTGTTTTCAGTTGGGATAACTCTAACCTGTGCAGACCGTAGCCAGAGGAGCAAGAGGTCAGAGGATGAAGGATGTGGCCTTGTGGACCTGGGAAGAGGAAATGGTGTGGCATCGGACATATCTTGGGAGGACCACAGGCTGTAGTCGGTGTCCCGCCCTGATGACTCAGGCTGAGTGACAGTCCTTGTGCTTACAACTGTCAGCGTTACTGTGTAACAAGAGTCCTTCCATTTCTTTTCACAATTTCTGAATACAAGCTGCTGAAAGACCTGTTTTTACAAACTCTGGTATAACCTTTATGTCTTAATTTTATCACCAATGTGCATCATTATCTATAAAATTATTAAAGGAAACAAGTTTACCCTAAACAGTATTTACTTATCTTCTAAGAGCTAGGAAAAGTGTCTGCTCTCAGCTTTAGCTTCTATTTAGAACATGTACCACATTAAAATATAGTTAGATATTTCTTCTTGGTTCCCATTATTCCCCATGTAGTTTTTTTTGAAATGACTTATGTATCTTTTCGAATCTATAATCTCTCTATGACAAAAAGAAAAAAAGATTACAAGAATATTTGCTGTAACTCAGTGAGGTAATTGGTAAGAAAAAGAAGCTTGCATAAAAACAAAATAAAGCAAAACAAAACCAGACAAACTATTAGAAATAATAAGAAAGTTCAATAAGTTTGTTGGATCCCAGATTAGCTTAAAGATATTTAATATTATTTTTTCATCATAAGTAATCTGTCAACTAAAAATAAAACAAGGTAATCTTTATAGAATCAATAAAAACTATAAAGTATCTAAGAATTAGCTTAATCAAGAGCACACAAGATTTCTACAGAAAAGTGTTAAGTTTCGTTAGAGAACAACCTACTTCAGGGACATCATGAATAGGCAGGATTCTTTGGAACAGACAATAATGCTGGGAAGAACAGAAGGCAGCAGGAAAAGAGACCAAATAGGGACGGACTGACTCCATAAAAGAAGCCGTAGGTGGTTGTCCACAGGAGCTGAGCAGGGCTGTTGAGGACAGGACATTGTGGTCATTCACAGGGTTGCCAGGAGTCAGGATCAACTCAATAGCACATAACACACACATAGAAGATGACATTTAAACGGAGAGACATTGCTTGTTCTTGTATGGAATGAGTCAATACTATGAAGCTGTTTTCTTCCCAAATTAATTTCTGAATTCAATACAATTTCATTTAAAATTCCAGTGGGATATCTTGAAGGACTTGATAAACGTATTCTAAAAATTATATAGAGACATTAAAGTTCATGTGAAAGTAAGTGAACATTAAAAAATAGAAAAAAAGAGGGAATATTTTTTGCCAGATATTGATATGTTAAAGAATAGAATTCATGTAAAAAACAAATAATCCAATTGCAAGGAATTGAGAACCCAGAGACAGACATGTACCTATATATCTATATCTAAAACAGGTATGACTATGTCATCTATGTATTACGTGCATATCAATCATCTATATGTGTGTACATTATATATGTATATCTATGTGTATATTTATATCTACATCCAGAGACTTATTCAAGAAAACTGGCATAACAAATCAGTGAAGGGGTTAGTGGGGAATAAATAGTTTAATAGTTGGATTTGGGAACACTGTCTCACCATATAAAGAAAAATAAACCTAATCACATACAAAAGTGGATTTCAGATGGATTAAAGACTTAGATGTGGGAGGAAATACTATAATGTACATTGAAGAAAGTATAGGAGAATAAAAGCCTTGGAGGAAGAAAGAAATTATTAAAACCATTAAAACAATGCATGAGGCAGAAACATCGATTCTGTCAAATTTAAGGACATTATGAATGAAGTTAATAACAGTTTAACAATTGGGATAGTATTATTGCCATGTCTAATGTGGATAAGATATTACTGTTTAGGACATAAATAGAACTCTTAAAAATCAACATCGCTAGCTATTAGAGAAATGCAAATCAAAACCACAATGAGATACCATCTCACACCTGTTAGAAAGGCTATAATCAACAGGACAAGCAATAACCAATGTTGGAGAGGATGCGGAGAAAAAGGGACCCTCATACACTGCTGGTGGGACTGCGAATTGGTACAGCTAATATGGAAAAAAGTATGGTGTTTCCTCAAAAAACTAAGAATTGATCTACCACATGATCCAGCAATCCCTCTACTGGGTATTTACCCCAAAGACTTGAAAACTCATATCTATATGGATATTTGCACACCAGTGTTCATAGCAGCATTATTCACAGTGGCCAGGACATGGAAGCAACCGAAGTGCCCTACAATAGATGACTGGCTAAAGAAGCTGTGGTACATATATACAATGGAATATTACTCAGCCATAAGAAGAGATGAAATACTGCCATTTGCGACAGCATGGATGGAACTCGAGATAATCATGCTAAGCAAAATAAGCCAGACAGAAAAAGTGGACAATCACATATCATTTATATATGGGATGTAAACCTAAAAGCAACAAAGAGCAGGACAAACAGAGACTCATGGACATAGACTATAGACTAGTGGTTACCAGAGGACTATAGAGTAGTGGTTACAGTGGGGTGGGGTAGGAGCAGGGAGGTAGACGGGGTAAAGGGGGTGAAGTATAGGGGGGTAGGAGGAGGGTGAAGTG